CTTCTGTGCTAGAGACACCCTTCTATGGCAAGACTTGCTTCAGTGGGGCTTTGGTGCTCACTGAGTCTGCCCCCTGAGTGCGTCCCTTATGGATCTGAGGAGTTGTAATCTGGATGGTCCCACTCTGACCACTGGGTACACTGGCTCTTGGATCTAAGGAGGTGCTAATTTAGCCTCTGCCTGAGGCTACCCAGCAGGAGCTACGAAGAGATCTGCAGTTCTGCTCTGAGTTCAGAGCAGTCGGGGGCTTGTGACTCCCTCCCGATTTAAAAAGATGGCCGTGTCCTCAGTCTCCAGCCCTTGCCACGTGCGCTCGAGCCTCCGTACCTCTGCACTCCACCTCTGCAGCTTCTCTGAGTCTCAGTGTGCTTTTCTCTTTCCTTCTAGTTGTAGAATTTCCACTTAGCCCGCCTTCCTGTAATTCTGGATGATGTCCGTTTTGTCTTTTAGTTGTATTTTGGAATTTGTTGTGGGAGGCAGCAATTTCTGGTGTTTACCTATGCTGCCATCTTGGTTTTCTCCTAAGCCAGTGTTTCTTGTAGTAGCCAGGAGCAGTATAATTTGGTTGAAAGTTCTAAAGAGATACAATCCTAGATCCACCTCTAGCACCTTATACAAATTACTTGCCCTTAGTGTATCTCAGATTCTTCATCTGTAAGATGCCCTCATAATGGTACCTACTGCCCAGTGTTGCCTGGAGGTTGGCTGAGCTTATCTATAATAATAAAAGGGTAATATGCTAATTAGACTGGACATCTGGATATCCTTCCTGACAAAGCCAGCACCGGAGGGAAGCCAGCCCAGGTCCTGGGTCCTGGGTGCCTGTGGGCAACCCGAGGGAAGCCAGGCCTGGTCCCGGGTGCCTGCAGGTGGCCAGAGGACAGAAGCCCAGGTCCCGGGTGCCGGCAGCCGGGGGAAGGAAGGCCTACTCTTGCATGAATTTTCATGCATCCGACCTCTAGTATGTATGTGTGTGTATGTGTATGTATATGTATATGTATATACACACACACACACATATATATATATAAAAGAGGAAATATGCAAATTAGGCCGGGATGCCCTAACGGGTCACAACCGGACAGGAGTAGGTTGCATGCTCAGGTGAGGCCCAGAGTGGAGACAGCCGGAGCTGGAGCAGACATGAACAGGGATGGGGGGCGGCCTGGGGCTGAGTGCAGGCCCAGAGAGGAGACGGTGGGCCTGGGCCCACCTCCCACGAGTGCAGCGTGGCTCCCTCCCACCTCCTGCGGAATCAGCACGGGTCCCTCCTGGCTCCCATGGGCACCAGTGGCTCGCTTCTGCCTCACACAGAAGCTGCATGGCTCCCATGGAAGCAGTGCAGCTCCCGCTGGCGCGCTGCGGTTCCCGCCAGTTCCCATGGCAGCGGGTGGCCTACTGCACGCGATACCTCGAAATGGGATACTAGTGTATATGAAATGCATAAACCTTACTGTGCTCTCAGGAAACACTTCCCTCACACCAGATGACTTAGGAAACACCCCCACTGGGAGCTCAGGTGCTGCTGTTAACTTTATGTTCAGACCTGGATCTTATTTTCTTGATGTGATGCTTTACAAGCTTCCTGGGGAATGCTACCAGCCAGAACTAAGCAGCGCCTGCAGAATTTTTCTCAGAGGAGAGACTGAAATATTCAAATTGTGTACCTTTCTCCTTCCTGAAGTTGCCAGTGTTACCTTTCCATAAATTGATGAAATGGAAAGGCTGGCAAAACAACAAGTATCTGCTGTATTATCATTGTTCATTCCTTGGGGAGATCTAGAAGC